GCTTTTTGACTGTTCCCTTAACCCACTCGGGGGACCCCTAAAAAAAACCCCCCCCCCCCCCGTAAAAGAGCCCCCTGGGAATATGGCCAGCGGATTTAGGCCAGCTTTGATTGGTGGCTTACACCGGGTCACAGCCGCTGGGCATCTGCCAGACAGGCTCACACCCTCACACTTATTCCCGTCCCTCGCATCCCCACCATCTTTCTCATCTTTGGCATGGCCTGCCACGGCTCGCAAAGTTCTGACCCCAGTTTAGGTTCAGGTATTATAAATGGATTTTAATAGGATGGCGTGAGGATTATTAAAATCCTGTTTCATGTCTTCAGTGGTCAAATCCCTGCTGCTTTTCTCACTAAAGACAGACAGCCTGGACTTCTTTACTTGTTATTTCTTCTATTGATATACCCTTCAAGGATATCTAATTGATGATGTATTCACATATGCAGTTTTTTCATCCCAACCCAAAGCTACAGCACCGTGTTTCTGCTTGTTAAATCAGTTGCTTTTGTGATGTTGAATGTCTGAAGCATTTTTGACCCATGCAAAGTACTATTTACATACAATAAGGAATTATTGTGAGCATATGCTCACAAAAGACCACAGCCACAATCAATGCTCTCACGGCTCCATTCAAATATTTGATTTTTTTTACACTGACAAAATGTGCATGTCATTTTATGAAGACTAAAAAAGTATGTCAAAACTGCATGCTTATCATTGAAAATGAGTATTTCAATTGTGCACAAGCTTGTGTGATTTCTTTTGAGTCCATGCTTCCTTAAATTCTCTGTTTGTTTGTAGATCGTGGGTTGAGAGTGGGGATGTGGGGCTGACCTTGGGCTGGAAGGCTCCTTGCAGCGAGCTGAAGGGTCCTGAGTGTGGGAGCAGCGGGGGCATGCCTGGCATGGTGGGGGGATAGGAGGGGAAGAACTGGGGAGAAAAGAGGAGGGTGGGAGATACAAAAAGACACAAAACAAAAATCATACAGAGATACGTACAGGACTCAAGCATATGCTCACAAAAGACCACAGCCACAATCAATGCTCTCACGGCTCCATTCAAATATGTCAAATATTTGATTTGCCAAATACAAATGCCAAATTTAATTTAGAATGACGATATGAAACTCACGTTTGAATGTCTGATAAAGGGATTGTCCAGTTTGGGGGCGTATTTGTCGAACTGAAAGAAATAAAAGAGAAAAAGAATTAGGACACAATGATATATTTTACCAAAATCCAATAATAATAACGTCTCACTATTTTTACATCACAAAACCGAAACACATGATCAACATCTGTAACTGGTAATAAGCAGGGTTTTGATCCAGAATAATAAGCCCTGGAGTAAAGCAGCTGGCTTGCACTGGTCATGGGTTCACTTAAATGGGCAGTTCAATTGCTAACAATACGACCACTTTAGCACACTGCCAAGATGAAGGCAGTCTGCATAATTTTCCAACTGAGCATACAGAGGTTGGGTGTGGAGGACCAGCTTGGAGAATCAGACCATTTTAAAACCAGACCAGTAGTTTCTATTTACAGGAAAATTTGTAAAAAATGTGAATGAAATTGCCTTTGACTGCTATGGATTTCTGTTTTTATTGCAACCAGCCGATGGTATAGATGGGAGGGGAGTGTGTAGAGACATACACCAATTCTCTGTACATAAAATCATGGAAAGAATAGAGAAAGAAGAGCCTGTTTGACTTGTATGATTGAAACTCAATCGAGTAGCTGACATTTGTAATGGGTAATTTAGGACAGATCAGCATGAAACTGATACAGCCTTGACATGCTGAATTGATGTGAGGAAGCCAGAGCTTATTGTGGCAGAGCTTATGCCTAACAGAATAATCTGAATTGGAATTTGCTGCATTAAAAACTATGTTGTTGTATGAAAAAAAGATTCTGATCATGTCCTAAACACATGGGAGTCTAGTCAGTAAGCTGAGAAGCAGTGGAGGGAGGGAGGGAGGGAGGGAGAGAACCGAGAATGTTGCCCAGTGTATGAATGGGGACTTTATATGTCTGTTTGCAAGCCAATACTGGCTCTCTATTTTGAAATGGGCTAATTACAACTGACAGTAACTTATTCCTATTCCGCAAATACACAAACCATTTGCAGGTACTTTTTGCGAGTGTTTTCATAAAGCTCTCTTGGCAGGCGCATATGTTTTGGGTTTACATAAAACAGGAAAATGAGTGGGTATGAACCAGTGCGTGTGCAGCGACACGGGTGGTTGAGAGGGGAGCGGGAGTAGGGTTGGCTAAGGAGAAAGAGGCCCTCTGGTGAAGCAGGGCCATTCACATCTGGACACAAAATGGCTGCAATGGCGGCAATGGTGTTGGCGGCCCTGTTCGTGGGCGATAATGGGCCCAAATCAAAGACAGACAGCCTACTGAGAGGAAACGCCGAGCCAGCTTCCGAGCTCATTAAACAGATCCTCTGCATTTCAGAAGGCGCGGCCTGTTTTATGTCTGACACTGTCAGAGGGATTTTGGCCGCTTTACGATCTAGTAAAAAATAAAAAATAAAAACTCTTGCCCTGGTAATTTATGGTGCCTGTCACAGTTTTATAGTAAACAGCTTTGGCTAATTAAAGTTTAATATTTCATCTTATAACAATTAAGGATATTGCTTGTCCAAAGACATGGCAGGGGCAAGGAGACAAGGTAGGAAAGACACTCAGTGCTGCCATTTGGCAAGCCAGCTGCTTGAGGGTGTTAAACAATAAACAAAAATAGAGGCTTCATAATTTCATTAATTACAGCCATTAGCCAAGCACTGTTACATAGCTGAAATGACATGGAGCATCTAGAGAGCAGGAGAAAATAAAAAACGAGAGAGAGAGAGAGAGAGAGAGAGGGGGGGGGAGAGAATATGCACAACTGGGCAACACTTGGTTTGCTTTTTCATGACAATACAGTAAAAAAACAACAACCACAACATCATCATTACTACTGCCACTCTCAGCAAACGGCAGAGAGAAAAAAACAGCATTGTTACTGAGGAGAGGAATGGAGGGGAAAAGGCATGAGTTAAGTAACAACACAGTTTCAATTAAAAGGAAAAAAACAGCAGAAGACATTAATGGCAGTCTCAAATCCCATCGTAACAACACAATGGGGGGGGGGGGGGTATGACCATCATGTGCTACATAATACCAGCATTAGTGAGATGAGGAAAAACCGCCTCTTTCATCTTCAAATAAAGGACTGTGCACTGTACATAATTCCTACCGGGTAAGGAATGATCAGCAGACCAGATAACGTGCATGTGCATGTGTGTTGGCTGAGGAACGGTCTTAACGGTCTCTATACTTATCTGAGACTGTGCCATAAATACCAGAGCTTTGATTTCTAATGAACAGGATGGGGGTAATCTTGCAGCGGGGCCTTAATGGGACCTCAGGCTCTTAATCAGAGGTCATGACATGATGGATTAGATCTATTAGACTAATGCCAAAAAGCTACAAATGGAGGCCCCGTCTGAATCGACTGTCAGAGATTGCTGTGCTTTTAAAATGATGGATGAATAGTCATAACCTTTTTTCCCCTTGTACTAATCTGAGAGCTGCCAGTATTTGACTGCCGCCCCCTTCCTCTCAGACTTGATGGCAGTCAAAGCATGGAAGCAATTACAAACATGATCAAAATAGTTTTGCAATGATGTCACCCCCCCTTTCATCCACAATGAGGTCATTTGATCAACTGCAAAGGCTTTGAATTTCTCAAAGTTGTGCACACACACACACACAACACAAGGAGCTTTCACACAAATATACAAGTCTGCAGGAATGCATTCACACAAACACACAGATCCGTTTGACTGCACCTTTGTTGCTCCTTGTGAGAGTATAGGCAAATGAAAACATTCAAAACCATTTAAAACACATCCATATGCAAACATTTGAAAAGCCTGCCTTCAGGCAGTACCCCTTTTTGATCCTTGGCAAACACTGAACTGCAAAATATATGTCAATGTTTAAACGAGGGTGACTCATGTATATAACATTTTGTAACAGTGGTTTGGCAGACATGCCAGGAGTCAGAACATGGCCACTATGAATGTACAGTTTTAAATATAATTCCACTATGGATGAAGAAGTTGCAAAGCATTAAAGTATAATTTATGTGCTTGGTTGGGTTTGACCAACCTGAGCAGCAACTAACCCGTACGTGGACGAGCTAGAAGATGCTAGTGTGTGTGCGCGTGCGTGTGCGTGTGTGTGTGTTAAAGAAAGTGGCAGCTAGTGGGCTATATCTGCCAAGCATTTGTCCTTATTAGAGTAGAAAGGATGTGATGCTCCCAGCTTCTCATCAGCCTTCAGACATTAGCAGTATGCAGAAATGAAAAAGCAAAATTCCAACTGAATCAGTATCATATTTTGTATCATATTGAAGGGAGGGGTTTCTACAGCTACGGGTCATATTTGGTGAAAAAAAAGGGAGGAATTGATTGAAGAGGAGACTGGGAGGGGTGACAGGTGGGTGGGAAGTTACGGGAGCTTTTCTTATTTAAATTTTTTACTTATCCTCACATTTCTGGCTTGGGTATGCACCATGGGGGGTGCGGTGGGCGGGGTGAGGATGGCGGCCGGGGGCAGACTGGCGGGGAAGGGCGTAAAGGTGTGCTGGTGGGTGTGTTGGTGCTGGTGCATGTGCTGGTGTTGGTGAAACTCGGCCCTCAGGAGCGAAGCGGGGGCCAGTGGTGAGGCGGACGGCCCCCGGCCCCGCTCTGAACTCTGAACCAGGAAGCGGTTGTTCAGCTCCTGCCTCAGGAGGTCATGCTCTGTAAGAAAGGAGAGCGAGGAAACCCCCCCCAAAAAAAAATAATCAGGGTGGGGGTGGGGGAAGGAAGGGGGGGGGGAGGACACAAGAAAAAAAGGCAAGGGCGCCCAGTCAGTCTTCACAACAAGAAGAAAGAGAAAAGAAAATAGTCACCTGGCATTCTCTGTTTCTCCAGCTCATGCTGTGAGGGTTTTCTACGTGGGGACTCATTTGTGGTGGTAAGAGAGTTGCCTGTGACAATGTGCCAATCAGAATCCCCGAATGAGGCTGGCAATACATGATTGGTTGGTTGAATGATATCAACAGGCTGGTATCTAAAGACAAGAAAGAACCAAGAGTCATCCCAGCAGAAAACACACACACACACACTCTTGCCCTCTATCAGAAAGTTAATGCACAGCTGGCATATTTATTACATATTTTGGAGATACCCATCATCGCTGGATACATTTGTTTCCTTCTATTGCAGCATGAAAAAGTTTGTTTTGAGGAAGTAGTTCGCCATTTTATCAAATTTGTTACGAATCACATATTGTAGTGAAAGAGAACACATGATTCTGGTTGTTGAGGTTGCATCAGTTCACTGACTGAGTGAACCATTTTTCAACACGTGACGTGTTAATGTGCCGCTTTCTGTATTCTGAAGATGTCTCCAGCTGTGATGATTGCCCAGTTGCTAGCTGACATTTTCCAGACTTCGAACGGTGACCTCATCCCTCTAACTCACTTCTAAAAATATAAAGCTACTGTAAAGAGACTTAAGTATGATGTTCTCCACCAATCAGCACATTAAAGCATGTGACTTACGGAAGAGGCAGCTGACTATTGCTTTGATTCATTTGTGCTGCAGAATCAAAGGATCAATAAGTAAAGAAATGCTTATTATTAAATACATGGGCACTTACCATATCAGCCAATCATAAATGAACACTTGAGTCCTTTCATTTTGTAATCAACTCAATAATACGGGTTAAAGACTAGTTCTCAAGTTAATATACATTGGTACTGTAGCATTCTTTGCATAAGTTAAGACTTCTTTGAACTGTAATTCTAACATAAGTACAGTAGAGCTTTGCAGTCAAGTCTAGTTACTTAAAACACACACTGGAACATAAAATGGCCACATCACTATAGAAAGTGTTACACAGCCTTTGTTCAGAGTGTAAATGCAAATTATTACACACCAACATTCAAAGATACAGCAAAATTTGTTATAAAAAACGATTACAAAAAAATGTGTTAATAGGGACACTTCTGATAAAGAAATGTCAGAAATTGGTACAAAGAATACCACTAATGTTTGTAGCTCTTTGTTAATTTGTCAAAAATATGGAAACTAATTCAACTAAAAAAGTACACTAAATGTCTGCAGTGAAGCTACCAACTTCTACCAACCATGTGAGATGCACGGCTTTACCTGGGTAGGGGGTGCCGGCGGGGTGCCCGGGCACCACTAAACTGTTGGTCGGTAAGGTCGGTGGTGGCGGCAGTGTGGCTGGGGTTGCAAACATGGCCGGATGGCGATGGGCCGGGCTCCGTAGGGAGGAATAGTGCGAGGTAGAGAGGTTAGCTATAGACAGAGGCAAGGAGGGGGCGGAGGATGGGAGCCCGCTGACGTGGTGGTGAGGGGATGGGGGCAAGTGCTGTTTGGGAAGACCCAATGGACTGCTTCTGTGGCTAAAGACGTAATGGGAGACAAAGGGAAAAAATACAATTATCCATTTAAAGAATGATAATTTATTAATGCAAATGACTACAATATATTCATTTACATTGTTCAGTCAGTACGCAGCAGTGTGACACATTGAGGGAAAGTACTACTGCCTTGTGCAGCTTGTTTATACGTCATATCTTCGTGTACATTTGTTGTAGATCTGTGTTCACTTGCTTTGCTTCTAGCTCAGCTGTTAGTTCAGCTGTACTGAGAATGTGTTTGACACTTTGCTTTGACAACATAAGTATGATTTTCCAATAAAACTTTTGACGTTGAAATAAAAAAGGCGAGGGCAGACTTTGAGATGAGGTGAAACAGGAAATAGATGAATGTGCTGTATGCTCCAGAGTGTTGCTCAATAAAAAACACCACATCTGACGGCTGGTTATTACAAGTGGTGGAAAATCAATAACACATGAAAACAGTCAATATTGTGTAGAACTGTACAGTATCTTGTCGCATCAGACTACATTATACTAATTTTGGTTTATTTATTGCCCCCCTAGACTGACAGGAACATTAAAGGAGAGTGACAGTTTTGTCTGTTTCTGATTAAATGTAATCTGCCAGGCTGAACACCAATGTGCCGTCCTCTTTGTTTACCTTTTTTTTTTCCTTACGTCTCCGGCTTCCACTGGTAACCCCGTGTTTAACGTCACATTGCTATACATTTTGGTAATTCCCTCAGGCAAAGTCTGCAGAAATGCAGACTTACGGAAAGGGTTCATAAAGGGCACAAAATGTCTGCGAGAGAGCCCTCAAACACTCACTGACAGTGGGACAGCCCTAAACCCTCACGGACTTTGCATGAATGTGACTCAAAGTCTGTGAGTCTTTGAGTGTGGAGATTGGGCCTTATTGAGATTTCTAGTGATCTTACACGGACATATCTAAGCTGACCAACTAAGGTTGAAATGCTGCCAATTATGGTACTAACACAGCATCAGTGCATTACATGTCTAACGTGAGTACACTCAGTAGTGTGTGTGTATTTTTTGTTGTTTACATTTTGAATCAAGCCCAAATGACTCCTTTCTTGTACGTCCTTGCACCTGCAACAACACGTATCCATGTTAGAATGTACCTGATGTCGTGGAGGCTGTTGTACTGCAGCGGGTGATGCACCTGGTGGCTGATTACTGGCCGTGCGTGGTGCTGTGGGTGCGGAAGAACACGGGCCTCCTGGTGCAAGTGTGGGTGAGGAGGGTGGGGCTGGGTGTGGGGTGGCCCCCTTAACAGGGGAGGGGTAGGGACAGGGGGCAGAGGGTGCTGCTCCTTCTTGACACTGAGAGGAGGCGGGGTAGGGAGCCACGACCTAGGGGGCTCTGGGGGGGCCGCCGCTGCAGCGGGGGCAGGGGAGCCCGTAGGCGCCGAAGCTGGGGTGGGGCTGGGCACGGGAGGCGTGAAGGGCACCTCACTGTTGCGCTGCTCCTGGCTGCGCTGTAGCCCTGATACTTTGGCTGAGCTACAAGTCTTGGACTCTGGACTGTCATTCGTTGGCACACCTGAGAAGACATGAAACAGCAAAATGTAAGAAGAGCATTTGTAAACTCCAATCTGACAAAGTTCATCTGATGGTGTCAACTGTGTATTGGCGATGTCTCATGTGAAGCCATTTCCTGTTTTTATTCAAAAACATCTGATGCCTAAATCAGACAAACAGGAATAGCTACTGTGTGTATTCAGAGGATATACATGATTAATGATAAGTAAAACTCTATTTCCTTCTATATAATGCTGTCCAAACGTCTTCTGCCCAAAGTTCCTCTAGTTCTCTTCTCCCTAGGTTCCATTAAGTGTTTAATCAGGTCATTTTCATGCTTGACTATAATCAGATGATCCAATTTCTTCCCGCGATCGAGTCAGTATGAATAAATCACAGCTAATTAAAGTTAAATGTCGGCCCCTATTCAAGGCTTTGCTGAGCACACAATCTGGCATGAAATAATTATGTTTCAATTGTGCTGCGAGGAGAGATCGTGGCCCTTCATCTTGGCCTTTCTGCCACTGCGCCTTTCTACCCCCCCCCTCCCTGATCTTTCAGGGGATTTAGGAAACCACAGCAAAGCACTCTGAACCCGACCACTTTGTCTTTACCATTCACCGGGGGGTTTTTCGACAGACAAGAAGCTTTTATAATCAGCATTCCACTGAACGACTTTTCATACTTAGGCTGTTGCAATTTAATGACTGTAATTATATGCTATTGTAGCAGGAAAATGAAAGTGGCAGAAAATGCAGCATCTCGAACACCTTTTACATACAAAAAAATGTCAACGCACTTATGATTCTTAATGAAGAAGAGAATGCATTATCCTCTACTTCTTTCAGCGTTAAAATAAAAGCAAAATGGGGCACAAAGAAATTAGAGTTTGAGGAGATGGTAACTAGTGCTACAACTACAACAGCTACAACACTACCATAGCTTCTGAACTCAGCAAAGACGCGAGTGGTGGAATTTGATTTAAGCACAGAAACATCACATGCATAGAAAATCAGAGAAAGAAAGTGTTCACACACTGATAAAGAAAGATAGACACAGAGGAAGAGAGAAGACAGCCTGGTGGCGATGAGGCTCTCTAAGCAGCTCTAATCTACAGCCAAGATGCAGCAGTACTTCAGTCAGAAGGCTTACTAGTGCCTCAATTAAAAAAGCTCCACGGGCACTCTCGACGGTAACAAAAAATGAGAAGAGCCGAGAGCTGCTGTCAAGCCAGTGAGAACTCTACATGCAGCCCACTAATGGAATATCCAGTCCCTATTAACAGCCTGCTTAATCTTTCAAGGATCCTAACACCCATAAAAAAGACCAATAAAAAGGCAGGGCAGAGCTTTTATTTTTTTATTTGTTGAGCACCTCCTCCCTTGCTCTTTGCGTTTTATAGGAGAACTGGGGCTGGCTAAGGTGTCACGATTTTCAAATGAATTCGGGGGTCCAGGCGTATATAGACCTCCAGATTTATACGGGTCTGGGATTTGGATTAAACTGTCAGGCTCTCGTCGCTGCAAGCGAGAGAGAAAGAGCAAGATTGAAGGCAAAGACAGAGCGACGGGCGATGAAGCAAATATCCAGTCAAAATGTCGCCGTTGGGTGATGTTGCCGTGGCAACCTGTTCTCTCCCAGACACAATGTGAGGCGAGTGATACTGAAGGAAGTCTCGCTACGACCACTAGGAGAGGGGTTTCTAATACTAATGCTGGGAAGCCAGGGCCACAGCCAGCGCCGGGTTATCTTAACGATGACTCTAATGGGCTCTAATGGAGGCAGGGAAGTATCAGCCCGGACCAACCCATCCCTCATTAAAATCACTCTGCAAGCAGAGACACACACATGCACAAATGCACAACAGAAGACACAAAAGTTTTCAGTGTAGGCATGTTACACACACACAAACACTAGAGCCCTAACATCGTCATGTCACAGAGGGGCAGCACAAAGCGGGAAAAACCTGACCATATTTATCGGAGATAGAATTTTAATTACTTCTTTGCTTCAGAAATGATGGCAACAGTCGAGGATATATTCCTGTTATAAATGCAGAGTTGAGTGATAGCCCTTTAAACTGCAGGTCCAGCTTCTATAGCAGCAATCAGGCTGTCAAGAGTAGTGAACAATTAATGGTGGAAAACGCTGCTAGTGTGAATACTTATAGATTGCTTTTGCACCGCTTTGTTTCAGCGGCAGCCATTTTGAGTGTAACCTAATGCGCAGTGTTAACAAGATGACAGGAATGCCTCTCTGACACATGTCACCTAAGGGCTATATGTAGCAAAAATCACGGTTTTGCAACAAACACTGTCCCCTCGCCGCAAATCCGCACAACTGTCAAACTGGAGTCTCAGGCATTTCAGCAAACTGCCAAATTCTGCATTTGTTTTGATCTTCCTTTCCTCGGGACATGGAACACACTTCTCTTTCCCTGCAATCACATACTGAGGAAAACAGTAGGCAAGCCACAGGCAGTCATGTGAAACAAATGCCATACGAGTGTCTGTACAGAAAAAGTGGTGTCCTGAAGCCCTGCCCCGCAAACCTGAGCAGATGGTGTGAGTGAGTCAGGCAGGTTGGAGGGCAGCCCGATGGTGGGGGGTGGCCCCCCTCACCCTCTCCCGTTAGCTGGGTTAGTGCACCGGGGGGACAGGGACATTCCCAGGGGGGTGTTGGCAGGTCTGCTCACCAGATGACATCTCATCCCAGTATTGATCTTTTTATAGTTATTCCTGTGGCACTGCTTACTCAGGGGAATTGGGCCTTGCCCTGTCCACCCGTGCCTGAGTTTGCAGTGATATGGGCTTGGGGGATGGAGTGGTAGAGAAAGGAGGGACACAGGGACTATGGTAGCAGACGGACAACTGGCAACTGGGAATCGCTGGTCATAACTGATGTGTCCAGCAGGGACTCTGGGGTGAACAGTGTCGCTACACAGCTGTTCCTGCCTACAATATCCTTCACTTGTGACCCTGTTTGTCCCAGTGGAACATCTGGAGACCTATCACCGATCTGGTCCTATGTGGCCTTTATGCAGCCAGATGGCCTAGCTTTGAATGGCTTGGACCAGTCTGGAATGGCTTGGCCTTGAGCTGGACGAGGATGGGCTGGGTGTCATCATCAAAGAGACCCTCGCTGTGATCAGGATAGCCCTCTAAGGCATGGTCTGTTGACACATGCCATGTCAAGAACACAATGCAGAAGCCCTAAAGGACAGCACTACATTCTACGGCTCTCAAATGCTTTGAGTTAAAAAGCATTCACTTGAAAACGTTTTGTTTAACCACTTTATTCCAAATACACACCTGGCTACCTGCAAATGGGCCCAACGACCGCATGAATGAGACAAGGGCCCTAGAGAAGGTTCTCATTCGGCCTCCAACTAAAACCCTCAGCAAACTTATGCTGTGAATGCAAATGAGTGTGTTACATAAATTACCTGCTCACATGCCAGTATATACAACAGCCAGGGAAATAGAACCTGTATGCAAAAAAGCCTTTTCAGATTAAATACAAGGGTATGCAAATTCTCTCTATGACAAGGGGGGTCGGGGCTAAGAGAAGCTTTAGGCCACTGGGTATTCTCATATAGTAGGCAAACACTGCGGTTCACTCCCTTCATGGCTTTGCAAAGGCATAAACAGTCAAGGCACTGATAAAATAAGGACATGAACAGACAGATATTTAAATGAAGCTGCATATCGGCTGAAAGACGTTGGAGGATGCAGAAGGTATGTGAGAACGCACACGCTGACTTGATCTGTCTCCCGCTGGCTCTGGTTGACAGAATATTCTGCTGCTCTTGACGGTTGAGCTCACAATGATTTGGTTTTTGTTCCTCTCTCGACAAGCAATCTGCACAGAGCCACGGCTTAGCTCACGAGTGAGTGACTGTGGAAGATGGCTGTAACAGATACTGGCAGAAGGCAGGAAACCGCAGTCTTGCCAATCTACACTTCATTGCTGTGAGGTATTCTGCCATTTAAAAAAAAAGGTGGGGTGATTTGAACAAAATTATTTTGTATGAGAGGAACAGAAGGGCTGAGCAGTGTTGAATCATTGTGCTAATAATAAAATCATAGGAGAAATTTGCAATGGCTTGCTTTCCCTCACACTATTTAATCTGCCTCGAGCATCTCCAAGCTGGTAACGAGGGGAGCCAAGGCGACGTTTTTGCAAATCACTCAGAGATGTTAATGGGGGAGTGGACGAGGAAAAAAACTGGCCAAGATAGCTAAAGAGTGAGGACAGCTGGCACGTTTCAATTATTTCTCTCTGTCTCTTTGCCACAGCTGACAAAAGGAGTGGATGGCAGCAGAATGGGGATGGGTGTTAAGCTGTAACACGTTTACAGTCAAAGCCCAGGCATAAATTGAGAAGCTAATGTTCATTTCAGAGAGCTGGCAGCTCAAGCTGCGGGATGAATCAGTTTTTCCTGTGCATATTGGATCCCAATTCAAACACCAGCCATATGGTGCAGGACACATATGCACAAATTCACCTCTCATGGCACCCATGCCAGCGCTGTGAATGGGAGGCAAATGACGTAGAGCACATCTTTAAATTGGAAAGGAGAGATAGAGAGAGCGCGAGAGAGAATGACAGAGCTCTAAATGTTGACTGTGTCATATATGGTCCTGTGGTCCTCTAAAAGCAATGTAAACCATCATTAACCCCTGGCTTTAACGTGCTGCAGAAAGGCAAGACGCCTCCACACTCACAATACACTGTTCTTCTCTCTGAATCTCCGTCAGGGCCCATCCCCCTGCAGAGCTGGTTCTAACAGAGCTCATGTGCTCTGCGACTGCCATCAGACTCAGCCTCTCAAGAACACAGCTGGGTCATCTAAGGTCAGTGCCACTGGGCTCTCCTAAATAAAAGGGTGGACATCTTGGATCTTTGGACAGAAAAGCTCAAGTCTAATGGCTCCTCTGACACGGCCCACCCTGCCAGTCAGGAATTTGACCCCTTTCACTGTCACTGACCCGTCACCGACCCCGGTGACCATTCTTACCC